TAAAAATAGTTCAAATTTTCTTATTTTTGTCCTATCAGCAAGGACTTAGTCTGTGTTTTCCACATTCCAGAAATATCATGTCCTGCTTTCATTATTTTTCTTGTGGTTCAAAGATGATGCTTATTCATTCTTAACTTTCATATGAAAAGAGTCAAACATATTGTAAGCCAACTCAGCCATCTCCTAGCTCTGTGTTTGAGTTCTCTGATGGGATTCTTAAGCTTCTCCCATAAATATTTTAAACACAGTAGATTTGAGGGAGGGAGATGTTTTTAAAACATTAAGAACAATATTTTTATCATAATTGGGATTAAACTTAGATCACTTTTATATGCAAAGGATCCTTCACTCAAAACTAAAATAGCATAGGAACATTCAGACAGCCCAATATATGAAATAATTAAGAGTGAAATAGTTCTGGGGTGCCTGGGGGGCTCAGTCAGTTAAGTGTTTGACTTCAGCTCAGGTCATGATCTCACAGTTTCCAAGTTCAATCCCTGCATAGGGCTCTGTGCTGACAGTTGGGAGCCTGGAGCCTGCTTTGGATTCTCTCTCTCTTTCTCTCTCTCTCTGACCCTTCTTCGCTCCACACTGTACCTCTCTTTGTCTCCCAAATATAAATAAACATTAACAACAATTAAAGAGTGAAGTAGTTCTGTTTGACAAGGAGCAGGGGACGTAGGGTTCCACCCATGTGACTGCCCATCTCCCTCAGCCCCGTGGCTGTGTGAAATACTGGTTGGAAACAGTGGTTCACATAACAATTGTGGTTTTGAGTGGCAGTTGTAAATAGGTGGGTAGGTAGATAGGTAGATCGATGCTGTCCTGATGCAAGGCATAAAATAGTAGAATCTTTCAAATGAAAAATTCAGCGGAAAATAAAGAAAGCTCTATCTATGAATAATATGTAATTAATAAAGGTGGAGGATAAATAAACAAGGTGGAGGATTATGGGTAGAAAATGATATGGTCCTGCAGGTTCATTTGTGAGGAAGAATTAAGGAAAATTGCAAGTTATTATGGATTTCAAGGATTAAAAATACACTTGTGTATTGTTGGGAGAAAAACAAAACGTCACCAACCCAGAAAACTTCACAAAGGTAGACGAGAAGGAAAACACTTGTACTAATGAATAAGCATTAAATCAGAATGTGATGTGCATCACAGGCAATTCTCCAACAGATTGTAAAGACAGAAGGAAATCCCATCCTTTAATATAGCCAAACAGATAAGCAATATCCAATCCTCAAGTAAGAGGACACAACAGCAATAATTGTCCCACATAGTTTACCCTAAATTTGACTGGGGATTAGAGTGTTAGTTATTTGGGAAAAGTGAGTCTCTTAATTTTTATTTGCTTTCATAATATTAATGGTCTAAAAAGTATGTATATTCACTTTTTATAACTTCATTCCTTCATTTTTCCTTATTGTTCCCAAAACATTTCAAAAAAATGTTTATGAAAAATTTCAAACTGGAGCAATAAGATAAATGTAGAATCGTGTTTAATCCAAACGTCCCTCCCTTGCTTTTCTAATATACCTCACCATACCTATGGTCAATAATTATAATTTTTATCTCCTCTAAATAACAGTCCTAGATTTTTTTGTGCTGAAAATTATTTTAAACTAATTTCTACATTTTTAGCTTTTAAAATATATATATAATACCTCATTTAGCAAATGTTTATTAAATGCAAAGTGGTCTCAGGCCTTGAAGGAAATATATTCAACTGTAAATTAAACACTTATCAGCCATCTGAGCACTTACTGTTTATCAAATGATGTACCAAGTATACACCAGGAATACAAAGTGAAATGAAATAAAACTACTATCTTCAAGAAGCCCAATCTCCTGTAGAAGATAGTCAGTGATCAGTTATATAATGATGTCTAAATAATGCAAGCCAATCTGTGTACAGGAAGTTCAGAAAGAAGATGGGTTTATATTCCAATGGGGATCGAATTATGTATGCACGCAAATTTCTGTATATTGGAAAAAATGAAATGGGGAGATAATTAAATGAGTTTAAGATGGATGTAGCAAACCTTGAAATTCCACACTTGAATTTAGTATTGAGGTATGGCAGGGACAACTGAAAAAAATTCTTTTCTAGCAATATAACCAGTGTTTGCAATGAAATGCAGTAGTACAGAAGGTTTTCAACTTTTCTAAGCAGTTAATAACACAGTTAGGACCACATATTGATTGTCCTGACTCAACCCTGCTTTCTATATACCACACAGGGAGGAATTTACTGATCCTCTGAAATAGGTTTTGGTGGGTGGGGATAAAGAGTCATTTTAGAAGGCCCAGGCTATGAGATTCCTGCGCTCCAAAATGAGGATGTGGTAAGAATCTTTTAAGAGTTGAATTAACCCCGTCACCAGAATTTTTAGTTTGTTTAAAATCAGACATGGTATACACCTACTTAAAACAAAATACTCCATGTTTTCCCTTTGTAATTCATCCAAAACCTTAGAATCAGTGGTAGGACCCCTTGTTATCTGTGCCTGTTCATCATCCCTTTTACCACTATGCTCAACTTGCAGTTTATACTTCAGAGATTACTGAAGTAGTTGCAGTTTCCTGAATCTTGCAATAGTTGGTGTTGCTCCTATAATTATGTCAAGAATGTCCTAAGTATTTTATTCAGAGGATGACTCTTACACATGTATCAAGATTCAACACAGAAAACACATGCTCTAAGAAGATTTGCCTGATTCCTTTCTCCTTCATCTACAAATACTAATTGAGATCTGTTCCAATGTACACGCATAGCCCTCTCTGTTTTCCTGCCTTATCACACTTTATTATAGCTATCACTTGTCTTTGCAACTATAAAGGAAGCTCTTTGAGGGTAGATACCCTCTTTTTTTGTCTAAATTTTTAATGGTTATACTTTAACACACCTTGCAAAATAATAAGCATTCATTACATATATGTTTAGATGGATAGAAATATAAATGGATGGATGGATGGATGAATGAAAGACTTCATATAACATGTAAGCCAATGATCCAGTTACTATGCATTGTGTAGCAGAAGACAGAGTCAAAATATGGACTTAAAAATAAAATATTCAAAAGTGATGTATTGATGTATCAGAATTCTTTGGTTATTAACTTAGATTCTGAAATTAAAACAAGGCATATTCAGAGTTCTGACTCTATTATATTGGCTTATTTCATGTATTTCATAGGCGGGCGGAAGTTGGAGTGCTAAAATACTCAATGTGATTGAATGTAGTCACTCACTGGTTTCTCTTTTTTCACGTGACTCTCTTCAGCTGTATCCATTATTTTTCAGGAAAAAATGCTATTACACTGACCGGAGCAGCAAATCAATGGGCAGGTTAGTGGTGATGTATATTTTGTTTACAACCATGCTTTCTATATACCACTGTCATTTGGGAAAAAGAAATAAAAAGAAGACATTTAATTACCCACATCAGCAGTTGTAAATTTTAGGAAGAAAAACTTTTCTGATTTGTTCTACAATTTCCAAAATGACTTACACCAAATTTAACCATGTTTACAATAAGATAATCTAGTTTTTTTTCTACTTACCATTGCCATTTCTGGAATCCTCTCTTGATGTAATGTTGTGGCAGGAGGATTTTAATTGCCAGTTAGCCTCTTAGGAGATTTTAATGTAAAAAATAGTTATAAAACCAGGATTGATGGGTAAACGATGACCCACTAGAGTAATAGAAGAACAGACAGGGCAAAAATCTTCTGGCTAATTCAAATATCTTATTTGACAAAGGTGGTCAAGGAAAGACTAGCATCCAGAGTGACAAAGTGGTTTATCAAGGCCACACAGCATCTTTTTGAATCACAAACCTACTCTTATTTCACCAACAGAGCTGCCTCTCATATTCTAGCATTCAAAACAAACTTTTCTTCAAGAGCATCATCTCAAAACTTCTCTCTAAATATTGTGGTAACAGTAGCTATGACAAAGGAATTAATCAAACCACAACCTTGAGACAGGAGAAACTCTCCCACCTGAATCACCTTGGCCCTGTTTCACTGAGGAAAATGAGCTTTCATTTAATGGATGCTAGAAACAAAAGGCTTCTTACACTTGGCTGTTTTTCTGCTTCTTGCAAAAGAATTCGTTAACGAAAGCGGAATGTCAATGTGACAAAATACACTCTATTGAATAATGTTGCAGGATATTACAATCAGAATGACACAAAACTAGAATCATATAGTGTGAATATCAGAATGCTTTAGGAAGGGATTCCATAAATGTAATTCCTTTACCAAAGAAAGTGTCTGAATATAATTTGGAACATTAGAATAGGAAAAAGTTTAATTTTAGGATAGGGGAATGTTGGACTCTCTTAAGCATTAAATTTAGATGTGGTAGGAACAGGTGACAGGAAAAGTAAATCATAGGGGGAAAAATTTGAAGTTAGAATGAATATTAATGGAACTAGTACTTAAAAGTCTCTTTAAAATAATAAAATTATTATTTATGCTCCTTAGCCAGGTCAGACTTTTCTGTTTGTCAGGTTAACATGGTCAGATTTAATTTTTTTTCAACGTTTTTTTATTTATTTTTGGGACAGAGAGAGACAGAGCATGAACGGGGGAGGGGCAGAGAGAGAGAGGGAGACACAGAATCGGAAACAGGCTCCAGGCTCTGAGCCATCAGCCCAGAGCCCGACGCGGGGCTCGAACTCACGGACCGCGAGATCGTGACCTGGCTGAAGTTGGACGCTTAACCGACTGCGCCACCCAGGTGCCCCAACATGGTCAGATTTAGAATGAGTTTTTATCATTTCCCTTGGACATATTTGGTCCTCGTCTGTGTAGCAGATTTTCAAAATTATTTTTCTATAATAAAGTAAAAGTCATTGGAATGTCACAACAATACAAATTTACAACTGCAGAGGGTTTTTTGTTTTGTTTTGTTTTCTCTACATGAGCCTGCATCATGTTGGATGTATTGATAACACATCTGGGTTAAGTTCAGTGTGCTGTATAGAATTAGTGAGATTTTGCTACTACATAATTAGTGAGTTTTCTGATAAACATCTTTCTTTCAGAGACTTGCAGAAGGATAAAACCCTGTATATTAAAATAGCAACGAATTTCTATGTAACATTATATAATCTAGTTTTAGTGTGCATTTGCTTTTGGAATGTGTGATAAACGTGTATATTAGACTCTATAGAAAACATTTTTAATAGTGGAAAAAGTATTTTTTTTCTGTTTTGGTCAAACTTAAAAGTAAACTAGAAAAATAAACACCATATTGTATATCATAATATGTTTTATTATCTTTTGTATTTATTATTATTTTCTGTTTAATTTCACAAAATGAAAATTCAGTTATATTATTCCAAATAATTCTTAAACTACTTTAAGCATTACTATGACCTACCTCTTTACAATTTACTTACTACAAAATAGTAGTAAGTATTTACTACTAGTATTTACAATTTACTTACTACAAATAGTGATAAGTATTTACTGACTTTTTGGATGCATGTGAGAAGGGTACAAATAAATAGGACGGGCATTTATAAATGTATATGACATACTAAACTGAGAAAGAGAATGTCCTGTTATTTGCTTGAGTGTAGACTTTCAATTAAGGAAATGACTGATTTTGATATTTTTCAGACTTTAACTTTGGAGAAGAAATTTAAGTGTTTTCTCGCTTTCTTTTGTGTGTGTGTGTGTGTGTGTGTGTGTGTGTGTGGTGACAACCATCGTTATAAAAATTTAAAACCTAATTTGTATACAGTTGGAAAGAGAGAAATTAAAATCAGTTATGTTCACCTAGATTTCACTTGTGCTTTTCCTTTATTGGAGTGGGAAAGATATTTTGTGCATGGGTATTTTGACCAGTAAACATTAGGTGGTGAATAATGTACAGGCAATTATCCAGCTTTTCAAGATCATCATTTCTCCTGGCAGTTTGATAGAAAATGGCTGTAGTTTTATTATTGCTGCTATTTATCATTTGTTTACTAAGCATTTTCACATTCAGTTACCAAGGCATCTTCAAAATAACCCTTCAGGGAGGCAGAACAAAGAGTAACTGGTTTCGCAGATCAGGTAAAATAAATGACCATTATCACCACTCTGCACCACCCTGTGCCTCATTCTCCGGCTTTCACAGCTGGTTGGGTAGAGCCTGTGCTCTGACTGGGTTCTTTTGGCCCTTTAACCAGATATCTTACCAATTTCCAAGAATTCTCTGCTTTCCATTGATGTTAGCAAAGGAACTTAAAGCTCCTTTAGTTAGGAGTCATCTCCACAATGTGCCATCCATGAAGTCTTGAGTCCGTAAGATGGCCAAGGTGACACAGATTCGCTAGAGTGTAGATAAAGCATTAGATTATGTTGGTGATGTGTTGGTGAGACTGATACTAATAGACAGAGTAGTAACACTCTCTTTCCTTATTATTATCATAAACATTAGTGAGTACTGGGTGGATTCAGGTGTTACATATTTAACTCTCAAAATATCCCACCTTTTAAGATAGGAGAAAATTGAATGAGAATCAAGGAAATTGAGTAATAATCCAAAATTTTGCATCCCATGATTCAAATCCAGACCTGACCACATTTCACTATCAGAATCATTTGCTTCCTCGTGGGAAGTGTATATGAAAAGTCTTAATTATAATATTGTTTATTTTTGTAGAAAATCAGTGATGGCGTGAGAGCCTTTTTATTTTTTAAATGTTTCTAAAGTTCACCTCCACTTCTAATATGTTTGTATGTGGTCAGAGAGAGGCCCTCAGGATCTGTAGTTCATCAGCATTTCCTAAGTCCAGTAAGAATGTATCCTTCTATTTGATCCTTCCAGACACCTAACAAGGTAGGACAGATAGAGTCACATCCTCTCTCTAGAGATGAGGAGCCTGAAACTCCAAGATTGAATTTGCCAATTTCAGTAACTGACAAATTAGGTCCTGGGACGCTCATCCTCCACCTTCTACCCCATTGTTTCCCTCACTGTGCTAAGTCTGAAAAGCTGGAGTGATTGCTATATAATCCATTCAGTAATTTGTAAGTGTCTGTGCACTAGTCACTGAAATATGGAGATATTCTGTGATTTCGGAAGCTTTTGTTATCATGAGAAGAAGCAAAGGGAACACCTCAGATATTGCTCATGTATTATTCTAGGCTAGAAAGTAATTCTTTGGTCCCTCCAAAACCAAAAATGACTTGGCATCTATATGATAACCTACCTGGCAAAGGAAAGGTCCAGACTCTCCACATGCCAAACTTTAGGTCAGGAATTGATTGCTATTTCAAATGATTCATACTAATTTTACCATGACAGATTTGAATGAAATAATTATGAGATACACTGTTAGCTGCCTGAACATTGCTATACTGAATTTTTTAAAGCATAAGCAGAGCTGACCAAGCAGATATTAAGAAGCATTGTATTTGTCTAGGAAACTATTCTCTCCTGCTACTTTGACTCTTGCTATTGCAGAAGAGCCCCAACATTGGTAAAGATGGAACCTTGTAAGTGGTGTGTAAATAATGTGCTATTTTTAAGTAAACATAATTACTATAGTCACTCAGAATTAAGTTTTCAGAATCAATCTCTGGAGTCTATGTCTCTTTCTTTTGCTTTTTTTTTTCTTTGTAAAGTAAAGATGATTCCAGTCAGTATGTATACATAAGAACTGGGTTATGACTGTAATCTAAAGCTGAGACCGAACGAAGAAGTATCCTGATGTAAAATTTCCTGAAACAGTATCTTAATGTCATATATTTAGTGTCTGTGCTAAACCCATCACTCAAAGTGCAGCCAGTGGATAGCAGCATGGGCATCCCCTGGGAGGTACTTAGAAATGCAGGATCTTAAGCCCCACCCTGGGCCTACTGAATTAGCTTTTTACCAAGATCTTCAGAGGATTCGTTTGCCCATCAGTCTTGAAAGTACTGCGAAGGCTCCTTGCCTCAACTTGTTAATAATCAAGCTTAAGAAGACACCAACTTACAAGTCTCCAGCAAAGTCAATATGTTTTTGATGAGTGAGGAACCTGAGGCAAGAAGTTAAGTAACATCTGTCAGTTCGCACAGCTCCCGTGGCGCCATGCTGCCTTTGAACTGTTTTGCTTGACTCCAAAGCCCTCGCTGTTTCTATCAAGGCAGAGACTCACAGCTCTGCTGGGTGTGTTGTACTCATTTCTTTCTTTTTTTTTTTCTTTCCTTTCTTTCTTTCTTTTTTTTTCTTTTTGGTAGGGCCACATTGCTGTAGATTTTTCAAAGAGTCAGGGAATAATCGATAGCTACATATGTATAGGTATACATACATACATCTATGCACTCACAACTTTGATAGATGTATCATGCTACTTTTATTGTGTTTATGCTCTTTCCTACCACTGTCTCTATATATGATGATTTTTTAATATTTTCCACAAGATATTTTGCATAAGGATAACCTAGTTACACTGACTTTAAGCAAATGCAAGTTTTGGTTTGGTTTGAAATTTATGTCTTTTGTGTGAGAACAAAAGAAATGCACGTGTGTGGGTATGACTGTCTTTTTGGAACTCCTTTCCTCGCCCCCCACCTCCCCCCCCACCTCGGAATGGTGATGGAAGGTAGACATGACTCTGGAATGCAACCTAATCTAGTTCATGTGACTTTGTTCCAGTGTGCAAAATTATTTTAGAAGAATAAAAAAATGGATGTCCCAAAACCCAATGGTTCTCGACAAGTCAGCTTTTCCACACCTGGAGGAATCAGACTGCTATACAGGCCCCTTCAGCCGTGCACGGATTCACCAGTAAGTTCACATTTCTTTTTCGTCCACCACCTGCCTCGATACCTTTCAGTATCCAGGAGTTTTTGATAAAGTAAAAATACCGTGGAACAGTTCCATTGTTTGCCAAATAAGTCAGAGAATGTATCATTTTATTAAAACATTTTTATACTTAATTTACCAATGGCACTCAGTGAGCATTATTAATTCCTGATCAGCTGATTTAGGGACATTCAAGTAATGAATATAATTAATTGTAAACTCATGGGCCAACAGTCTAGCTCCCAGTTCTTTCAAAATAATTATGATGGTGGTAAATACCCAGTTAAAGTAACAGTAATGGTAATATGAATAGAATTGCTATTAAATAACATGATTGAATATGGATTATTCTAATTAATAAATTATATATAATTACATATAATTAATATGTATTTATTAGTTTAATCCACTTGAGTCTAATTGTATGAAACTAAGATGAATGAGAATTTTTTTAGGGACTTGTTGCATAATTCTTTGTCTACATCCCAACAAGTCTCTATTCCTAAATTCATTCTACTAGTATTTATTGAGTTTTTTCATAATAAAAATTGAGGATATGACACAGTCCCTGTCTTTATAGATGTTGAGAGGCAGGATGAAACAAATGAATTAAATCAAATATTTGGGAGGAGAGAGTTCCCATTAATTATTGCCTCTGTAACATGTCCAGTGGTCCAGAATCCCATTTCATACTGCCTCTCAATGCTCCAATGTCTCACACTGTGCATTTCCCTATCTTTATGTTTATCTTATATTATCTAATTATTACTTTACATTTCTGTCTGCCCTGCTACACTGGGAATACTGTGAAGACAGGGACTGCAACTTATTTGTTAATTTATATACCATGTGTTTTCTCCCTCTATAATGCAACTCCATGAAAAAATTGAACTTAACCTTCTAAAGAAATATTTGTTCACGGAATTCTGAACCAATCTGATGGTAAAAGAAGTGTGTGGACACTGCTTCTGATTATTAGAATTAACAGAGCACAGAGCAGCTATAGTAACTTGGTGCATAGCCAGGTACAAAACAAAAAGCTCAATATCAAAATCCTGGAGGCTAATAAAATGGACAAGTATACACATTAGCGTGAAACAAAGCAGAGTAAAATCAACATGTTAGGAAAGACACAAATACAATGCACGTTTGTACAAGAGAGGGGGAAGCTACATCCAGAGGAAAGGATCTAGGAAGCCTTTTTGACGAAGATAGTCCTTTTCAGCAGGTAAAAATGTGGAGGAAGGTGGAGAGAGGTGGGGAGAAAGACATTAGAGACAGCAAAATGCCGAGACAGCAAAAGAAGTGTGACGTTTTAAGGTGTGATAAATTCTACAATTTGAACAATCAGATGCAAGAAGCCAGAGCTGTAGGGGATCAGACTGAAGGAGAGGCTGAAATGCAAAAATGGAAACCTGAGAAGAAAATGAAAAATTTAATTATGCACGTAATGCTGAAACATTAAAAGTAGGAGTGCTCTAAGAATCAGAACTATCCTGGAAAAGTCAGGTTGGAAATTGGACAGCCAGTTAAGAGGACATTCTTCTCATAACCTAGGCAGTAGGACCTAGTAGCTCAAAGCCAGAGAAGGGCAGTTCAGGTAGAAAAGTTGATTAGTTCAGCAGTTATTTGAATATGGATGGTAAAGAGAAAACAAGAATCATAGAAGACCTAATACTTCAGTACTAAGTGCCAAAAAAAAAAAAATGGCAGATTATTAGTCACAGAGATAACTGGAAAAAGGAAGCGGTAGAAATTGAGCATGCTTCCATTTTTTTGAGGCTCCCGGCATATGACAAAGTAGATGCTAAAACAGACCCTTCTTTTCCTGTCAAGACCACCCTTTTGCTCTTTACTCATTGGCTCTAATATGGTTCCTCTTTGCAAAGCTTCCTACCTGGGTAGAGTACAGGGCATGAATGGAAAGGGAGAACTATTGTCACTCGTTGCTGAACTTCTAAAAACAAGACAAATTAGCTTGGAAGGTGTGGTATGGGCAAATGATATCAATTTTTAATGTGTTCTATTTGGCACTATATTGCTTAAGGGAGTACAAAATTTACGGGAGCCAATGGACAATCTAATGCTGTCCTTGTTTCATGCTAAACAAGAAATATGAGGACATCCAAGCTTCCTTATAAACTGAAAGATACTTAAATGGATATTTGATAATGTCTGTATTATTTATAAGTATATTTTGTCTCTGCCAATTGATTTTTTTAAGAGGATGGTTTGACTTACTATACCTCTCATGCATTAGTTTTAATGGGAAAACAGATGGATGAAGACCTACGAATTTGTAACTGTTGCTGAACTCTGCTCTGCTTTGAATATTAAAACAAATCCCTTATCTTAACAGCTTCATAATAAACAATAAGGACACATTCTTCAGTAATGCTACTCGAAGCAGGATAGTCTATCACATGCTACAGCACACCAAATATGAAAATGGAATATCAAAAGTGGGTAAGAACACTAATTAAAAATATAGAAAGGGTAGAATTTGCTGTTACTAATTATATCCAGAAATATTTATTTTGACATCTGAAGCTTTGCCCTCATGCGTTAAATATGAGGATATAATGCATTGAGCACAAACTCTAAGTATTCTCTTCTTCAGCCTTTCAGTAAAACAGAACTAAATAAAACAATAACAACAAAAGCTTCTTCAAGGGCATTTAGCCATATGTATCCTATCAAAACATGAAGAGTGCTAACACTTTGGAACAGAAATTTCATTTATTGAAAATTTTCTTAAAGAAATAATCAGACTTTTGAATAATAATATATGTAGAAGTTTGTTAATAGTGGCTTTGTTTTATAAACAAAGACTAGAGTAGAATAAAATTGTAAACAGTTTAATTGTCCATCATTAGGCACTGACAAAAGTTAGCTTTGTTGCCATAAATGCATCCATTTAAAACTGTTATTCTTAACTCAATTCTTTTTTTTGCATTATTATTTTCCATATATATATTTATTTGTTTATATTATATATATATATATGTGTATATATATATATATATATATATATATATAAAATTTATTGTCAGATTGGTTTCCATACAACACCCAGTGCTCATCCCAACAGGTGCCCTCCTCAATGACCATCACCCACTTTCCCTTCTCCCCCACCCCTCATCAGCTCTCAGTTTGTTCTCAGTATTTAAGACTCTCTTATGATTTGCCTCCCTCCCTCTCTGTAACTTTTTTTTCCCCCTTACCATCCCCCATGGTCTTCTTTTAACTCAATTCTTAACTCTTGACTCAAATTTATCAAACATCTGTTATATGCTATATGTCACAAAAAGCATACGACACAGACCCCTTACTTGTGGAAATTGAAAATTAGTGGTTAGTTCTCCATTTACTGACTTTGAAAGAAATCTGCAATGTATAGTCATGTGAAAAAACGGACAGATTAAAAACTGTAAGTCTAAAAAACCCCAAATAAACAACAAACTATAAGTCTAATGTAATCCCATTTCCTAAACGCACATTCATAAAAAGATAAAAGTCTGAAAGAATGTATATACAACTTTTTAGAAATTATCTCTAGAAGGTGAAATAACAGCTAATTTTAACTTTCTGAATTTCTGTGTTGTTTAAATGTGTAGCGGTATGATACTACTACATGTATATTGCAAAAGAAAATTTCACCTAGAAAAATTAAATGAAATTGCAGTTTATGTAGTGCAGAGCAGAAAACAGTGGGTAACAGTCGAGCTGGTCTTTTACTTATTAAGGTGAAAATTACAAGACATGAAAGAGATTCAATGTTAGTTATGTCCTAAAATCCTTACAAATGAAAAGTTGACACACACTGAAAACTTGGACCAGTCTCTACTGAATTGTACTAAAATATAGTGCCACAGAAGTCAAATGTACTATGTCAAGTCATTTTTTTAAAAAGGAAAGTTCAGACTTTGGTTCTCCTCTGAATAATAATTTATTTATTGCAGAGTAGTCAAAATAGCTAATTTAGACACTAAATCCGTACAAAAAAAAATTGACACCTAGTTTTCTACATAAGAAATAAAAATAGAGGAATCCAGAATACAAGTTAAAAGTGTGTCTAAATGATGGCATTATCTGCTTATGTAGTCTTTATGACATTTCAAATGATTGCAAACATATTATGCCCTTTGTGGAACATACAGTATACACAGAAGAGTATAAAAATAAAATTAAAAGTCCCCAAACCCAGTTGTCACTCTCCCAAAATGATACTGAATATATACATAATAAACTTGCATGATTCTAATAATGATGTGTGTGTATATATATATATATATATATACACACACATATGTATATATGTTGTGTTATATATATGTATAATATATGATGTATATATATCATTAGAGTCATGCAGTGTTTATGATTTTCTGTCCCTCTTTGAAAGTATTTATGAATATTTTATCAAGTTGTTTAGTATGTCTGAAACATTGTAAATAGTTGTACAGTATTCTATTCTAGGCATTCAATAAATTGAAGTTATTTACGAAGCACCTTATATAAATGTACCATAATAATTAAATGATTTCCCAATTTTGGATGTACAATGATCTTATTCTTTACCACTGTAAATAATACTGCAACAAAAGTTATTCTCCCCAAATTTCCCAATATCTAATCTTACAAAGACAGTAAGAGAATGTCCATTTCACTACACTGTCACTGAGATGGAGGAGATTTTAAGAAGTGTCACATACTGTTGTTTGTCTCTTTGGTTCACTATTAAAGATTTCACAAGACCAATATCCTTCTGAAACTTGTTTTCTTTCTTTTTTTTTTTT